CTGTGTTTGCCAAGCACTTATTCTACTGAGCTATCTCCCCAGCCCCTTTGAGATGATTTAAAGTCTGAAGGAAAACATGTGAAGGTCCTGTGCAAATGCTACGTCATTTTACCCAAGGGACTGGGCCTCCTTGGGGGGCGGTGCTGGAACCCGTTGCCCTTGTGGAAGCCCAGGAACAGATGTAAAGCCCCCTGAGCAGGGGCAGTTACGGTGCCTGGATCTCTGGGTCCCTACATCCCCTATGAGGCACTGTGCTTGGGGTCTTACACATCTGTCCAGATAGTGCCACTCATTTTGCAGATTAGGAAACTGAGGCACAGAGGTCAAGGTTGGGTCCTCCTGTGCCTCTGCTCTGTGGTGTTCCAAGTCCAAGCCCAAACCATGGACCCCAGCCCACATTCCCCAGGGCCTGCCACAGAGGCCCGGCTGTGGAAGGAAGACATTACTGTCCTTAAGGGCTGTGTCCATCCCCCCTTCACCCCGCCACAGTCCCCATCCACTCACAGGGATGAAGCCACCTTGGGTGTCCTTGCAGCCACACTGACTTCTGGGCACACACTTGTCCTCGATTAGCACATAGCCGGGCTGACAGAGGCAGCCCTCAGTGCAGGTGGAGGGGACCTTGGCACCCTCGCAGTGGCCATCCAGGTCCCAGCAGGATGGTGGGCAGGAGGGAGTGCAGGAGGTGTAGCTGCTGTGAACCGGGCACTCCAGAGCTGCGGGCACAGGGGCACGGGTGAGTGTTAGGACTTGGAGGGGCCCAAAACCAGGCTGGGATGGAGCCTGCAGCTTCTTCCTTTCCTTTTCCACCCCCAAAACAGTTGGGGAACATGGGCTGCATGCCAGGCTCTGAGAAAGGGAAATACTTGGATAGACTCCTGAGTCAACACAGAGCGAGCCTGTTAGCCAGCAGCTACCGCATGACCAGAAGTGTAAATGGGTGCAGAGCATGCAGGTGTTAATTCTATGATGGGAGGGTGTGGTGGTACACGCCTATAATCCCAGCACCCAGAAGGCTGAGGCAGGAAGATCACTGAGAACTCAAGGCCAGCCTGGGCTACGCAGTGCTAAATCTGAGTTCAATTTAGTGACTTGGTGAGATCCTATCTCAAAATTTTATTTATTTATTTATATTTTAGGGAAGGGTCTACAGGGTGTTCAGGGTTTCACTACTAGATCAGACTCATAGTGATCCACCTGTTTACAGCCTCCCAAGAGCTGGGATTATAGGTTGGCACCACCATGCCCAGTCTCACTTGCCATCTCAGCATGCCCTGGGGGCGGGGCCGGCACTACAGGCCTGGGGATCGAACCCCCAGTCCCCTGTACCTGCTTGCAGGAGCTTTAATCCACTGAGCTATTCAGCCAGCCCTCAAAATTTTAAAATGAAGAAAGGATGGGCTGTAGCTCAGTGCAAATGCCCTGGGTTCAACCCCCAGTATTGCCCCTCAAAAAAAGTCTTTTAAGGGAAAGAAGTTGTGAACACAAAAAATATTCATTTAATATGATCACAATAAAATAGACCAACAGGATGTGCATGTGTTTAATAGAACATAGTGATTTTGAAGGTGCAATAAAAATATAAGCAAATTAGAAAGGTTAGGAAAACTTTGAAAAAGAATAGTGATTAGTGAGGTGTGTCTATCAAAAATCAAAATACTTTTTTTTTTCTGTTGTTGTTTTTTGAGACAGGGTCCCACTATGTGGCTGGCATGGACTCACAGTGGCCCTCTTGCCTCAGCTTCCCAGGTGCTGGAATTATAGACGTGCACACTGATACCTGGCAATAAAACACATTTGCTACTCTTTTTTTTTTGTTTGTTTTTTAACACTTTAGGTTCTTGATGATCACAGCATTGCACCCCTGGCACATGCAGATATAGTTGGGCCAATGGATGGAAAGAAAACTCAGATCTGCACTGAACTAGACATGGGAATTTAGTACAGGACTAGTTAGGGCATCTCAGTTGTTGGGGAGAGTCAGACTAGTCATTTAATAACAAAGGAACAACTTGTTAGTGTTCTAGAAATGAACAAACCAAAAAAAAAAAAAGGCCAAAGTTGATTCATATCTCATACCAGACACCAGGATAAACTCTCATGGACACTGCATGCCTGTGGTCCCTGTGCTTGCAAGTCTGAGCAGGAGGGTCTCAAATTCAAGGCTG